CCTGCTGTAACTCAGCGGGGCTCTTTGTGAAAGCTGGGCCTGGTCCAGGGGTTTCTCCGCTGCCGCAGGCCTGCAGCCTTCCTGGAGATGAGAGGTGGCCAGTTACCCTGCAGAATCAGCCTTGTGTTTGCTCATTCTCTGGCCGTTTATCCTGACTCCGTGGAGAGAGTCTCGCTCCCGAAAGCTCCATAAGCACTTGACGGTAAACGCAGGAGCAAAAGGTGTTCACAGCTGTACACATCTGGTCATTTGTGCAAACATCTGTCAACAGCAGCTTCACAGGAGCATTTCCTGCTCCAGCCACTTCAAACCGCTGCTGCGTCTGCTTGCTTAATTACCTTAAATGAGAAAATTTGGTCGATGAACCCTTATGGATTTTTTGTTCCATTTTTAGACGAACGCATCTCTGACACAAAGGCATCTGCCTTAAATTATCGCAGAAATCTGTGCTTGTTCATTGGAGTCGTGGACTTTTGGGTTTAAGGTGGCAGAAACATCTGTTAGTGACATTATTAATGTGCTCCGTTCCCGTAAAAGCAGGAACAGGGCATAAAATGGATTTTACAGTGCAAAAAAAAGCCGGCATGCTTGTTTAACTGTTCATAAATTTAATCTGGTACAAATTCGTTAATCAGAGGCGGGCCGAGCAGGTAAGAGCATTACACGGCCATGAAGGTACTGCATGATAACTGTCCACCGCTCCTTCTTACCGAGAGGCTGAGACAGAGAGGCAGGCTGTGCACATGAAACACTCTACAGCTGCACAGGGCAGAAGTGTCAGTAAAATGTTCATAAAAGCCCCCCCAGGATGGGGGTGGGGCAGGGAGGAAGGCCCAGGCAGGTGGCTGTACACGGTAAACCCCAGGACCCGGCGGCTTACAGGATATATGGGCTGTTGTTGATGGTCATGGTGACACATGGCCCCCTCCCTTAACAAATGATCTAGAACAATTTGAGCATCCACCTTATTCATACATAGATGTCTGCATCCCGTAAATACTTACGCATGGATTCTCGGATGTTCCTGCGTTATAAAACGCGTGTGATGCTGTGCACCTAACATCCAACCCAAAGAAGATGGATGCTGAGAGGCAGGGTCGGCATCGCTGGCAGACCTCTCTGTTTGTTTATTTGTCACTGCCGAGCTGTAAAACACCCTCTCTTGGCTCCCCCAGGCCTGTGCTCAAGTGTTGTGTCACCAAAGCCAATCTGTGATTAAATCTGATGAGTGACTCACAAAGACCAACAAAAGGGGGGGGGGGGGGGGGGGGACCAGCCTCGCGAAACGTGGTGGAGGGGGCGCGAGCGCAAGCCAGGGCAGGTGTGAACTGCAGGAAGGGCGGCACTTAAGGACAGCGATAACGGAGAGATGCGGTGATTAGGTAAATAAGACATAAACATACGACAGATGCGTAGGTGCTGGCTCTGTAGCCACCATACCACCTGGAGGTCTGGCCGTGTACTGCAGACTTTAGAGACAGGATCGGGTGTCATGCCTGAACCCCAGAAATGCAGCATGGCTGGAACAATCACCCGTGGGTGTTTCATCTGTGCATCAGGAAGCGGCTGCATGACGGCGGATTGTGGGCGACATCTATCGCCAGCCCCACCCACACAGGACAGCCCACGAGGAACCGGGTAGGGAATCGAGGGCAGGGGGGACTTTTACAAAAAAATTTAACTGGTATTTAAAATTGCAGGTCGGGGGGGTCTTTTACAAAAGTGGTATTTAAATACTGATATTTAGATCCCCAGATAAGGACAAATAAAAGTAAAAAATAAAAATAAAAGAAAAGAAACTGGAAGCCACGACTCTTTATAGGTTCCAGCACTAAATTGCAGATGATTTAGCCTCATTGATATTTAACTGTTTTTAAGGTCAGAAGGATTAGCTAATCTGCTGCTGGGTTGCAGTCACTAGGTTACGGTCCTTCTCTGGCCATGGCATAAAACAAGTCTCAGCGATTTTGCCGATCCCGGAATCCTCCTTCGCAAACTGACGTGTTTCATGATCCGGAAAACCAGCAACCTGAGGGGGGGATTTGAGCTAAATAATCAGAAGATCACCTTGACCAGCCGGGCCAGAGGATATTCTCGCAAACCCTCACCCGCGTGTGTCAATGTCTACCGCGAGAGATAGCGGGCGTCACGGTTCAATCACGGCTCAGTATCCAGGCAGGCTTCATACGAAGGTCAGGACCCCACCCGCTACCCACTCATCCTCAACACTGGCGTTCCCGTGTGCACAGAAAAGGCTTACAGGATCCTGGGGGTTCCTCGCCTGCTTTTTGCCGGCGCAGGATAACCCAGAGGACTTCTCCTTCTCTCAGGCACTATGATATGACCCCAGAATCATGAGGATGATGGAATCCTGCATGAAATTTCAACACAAGCTTCTCTCCCTACTGACACGCCATAAGAGCAACACTGAGATCTTGTAACCATTATCTATACATTTCTTTTCCCGTTAAAATCTCTCTTTTACTTGCCCCAGGGAGCCATAGACCTTGAGATGTATCTCGACGGTGCCTATGCAGACCGCGGCTGGATTCGAGTGACGAGACTTACCCCGTTCTTGGGATAGGCGATCCACCCCAGGTCATCCACTACAGATCGGGAGTCCAGTAAATTCACTGCAAAAAAAATTTAAAATAACGAATAAATAAAGGCAGTCAGGCAGCAGAGGCAGCATTAGAGGCATAGCTGTGGGGAAGCTGGTTTTTAACCCAGTGCATATACTGTGGATTTAGAAATCAGAAACTAGACATGCTTGAGTTTAGAGACATCTGGGCATAAAATCCGCAAAATCGTTATTTCAAAGTGAGCGAATAATGCGCGAGTGTCACATCCCACAGGGACACAGCACCGGGCCTTTTAGCTATAGTGTAATTCTCTGCGCCTGTGGTGAATCCAGCCACACAGCAGTGTCCGATTTGTATCGCTCGTTTGCTCCTGCCCTGGGTCTGAGGCGTGACGGTTTCGGATCACAACGGCCCGATCTCGCAAGGCTCAGTGTCACGCCGTGCGGGACGGATGGTAAACCCACATCGCAGATCACACCTCTCCCGATCTAGTGTCCTACGGTCCAACCAGTCATATACCGCGACGGGGACCTCAATGCATCGTAACAAACTTCCAAAAACAAACAGCACGACACACAATCTGAAGAATTTGCAACAATCTCCGCTGACCCTGTTACAGTACCAACGGCTGACAAGCTAGTTCTTGGTCCATTAAAAAACACACCTTAAAAGGAATAAACATTTTATTCCAAATCAAGTAATCCAAATGGTTCAATAGAGCTGTACATATGAGGAATTAAGTTTTATATTCAAAGATAAGCTAGTAAGAGAGGCACAGGCCCCTCCAAGGTCAATGATGTATGCAGGACGTGTCCCAACTTAACGGCCCCGCACGCCATGTCCATTCAACATCACACAGCTTCGAGAAATCCATCGCAGAAAAACGCCAGGGTTTACTGCGAGCTCTGGGCTTCTGAAAGTAGCAGCGAAAGGGGGTTGTATTAACACAGAAAACACTCTCAGAGAGTGTTTATAAAAGAGGCAAACAGATTCAGGAAGCATCTGAAAAGAAGCGGAGTAACAAACAAGGCTCTGCTATTCTACCCTGACGGGCAGGCAAGACCAGACTGGAAGAGGAGCTCATTACACGGTGGAAAACATCCCCTTTAGGTAGCAAACTATAACACATCCAGGGGGGAGGCTTTGGTTAGGTACTGTTATGAGATCATTTTACTCTTTTAGGGTTCTGAGGGTTCAGATAGGGCATGTAGCTAAACCCAGGCCCGAATGGCCTCCCAGGGGCACATCTCAGAATGTCATTATCACATAACTCATCCGTCACCCATCACACCACGGAAAGCCACCATCCATTATCCTGCCTTTTACTCTGATGGTGGCCCTGCCCTTGGAGGGGGGGGGGGGGGGGGCTCCAACTCCCATTATTAAGGATGCAACTCCTACCTAAATTACCACAATATGGCTGAACTTCATTAATACACACAAGACATAGGGAGCTATGGAAGCCATGTTGATCTCAAGTCCTCAAAGCAATCCCAGCTCCAGCCCTCTTGACTGTCAAACAGCACTAGTCACACTGGGTCTTTATTTTTTAGTTTATTAGTTATTTTACATGTATTTTGTATAGAATATGTGTCATCACTAATATATGCTCTGTAACAAAAAGGGTCTATTTACAAAACTGGGTTATTTGTTACACAAGGTTTTGTTTTTCAAACAAAATTGGTCTCATTAATTGGTTTCTGAATTATTATATGCAGGATACGCTGCAATCAATTGCTGACTTCTCTACGAGATAAACCAGGCTCTTGTTGTTGCTGTATATAAAATATGATATTATTGTTAATAAATTTGCATGTTTGGAAAAGGTCAGTTTGAACAAATGTCACATTATTATTCTCCAGTTTCATAGTAATCATTCTTCTTTTAATGTAGCGATAACACACAAAATTTGCGCATACAGTAGTAGTTTCCCCTTCAAATTAACAGACTATTTCACCCTAATAACATTACTAACGTCTCTCGGTTTTTTAAACGAATTTGACCAAAGTGATACATGTGGAAAACGGTTACTTTTAATAAACGTAATGCTGCACAATCCTTCACAATTTACAAACTGCCTAAAGACACGTCTTATACCTGCACAGTCTGTGCTAACTGGACATATTAATATTTGTTTAATTAAATACTCCTGTTTATCTAAATTAATTGTTTGGTGGTCAACTGGGATTGAAAGGGGGAAGTATACCATACAACAGTGATCAAGGGAAGCAAAAATCCAGACAGGATACAAAAAGCCAGCTCGGAGCCTTAACGGGTCTCCTTTCAGATAATAGAGAAAAAGACGCTGGAGCGACAATGTCCTGTGTCAGAGACAATTTCATCCCGCGTTAATAAATCTCTTTCATCTAACAGGGGCCGAGGGCGCGCAAATCTACCGGCCTTTACGGAGACCTGAAACGGTAGTGAAATCGGTCCGGCCAGCACGAAATACGATGGGATCCAATTGATATTATTCTGAAAATCACACCGTTCAAGACCGACACTACAGCCTAGACATTTCATTTAAGATCTGAGTTTAACTAGCCTACAAAAACTCGACGGCCTGTTCAGTAATCTAAAACGCTGTATATATTGGGCACACCGTCATTTATACAGGCCATAGATTACAATTTTTACTTTGTTCTAAAGTAATCTTAATCTGATACGTAATCCTTAGTCATAGTACATATCTCCACGTTTAGTACTTTCCAGTGTCTAATTTAATTTAGCTTAATGATCAATTACATGGTTTTGTACCCTTATATGCCAATATCCGACGTCGATCATATGCAGGTAAAATTTGCTGAAGTGTGTGATGTAAATGTATTAAAACCCAATTTTTGATAGCAAGTTAAAATAATTAAATACACAGCAATAACTCGTTTTTTAGTGTGCGTGGCCTAATAAAACCGGATGTTACCGAGAAAACGGAGAGGCTTCCCAGACACGTAAAGTGACAGTAAACCAATGATACGTGCACACCATTCGGGATGCAGACGCATGTCAGAACTGTCCAGGTGAGGACACTCGGTGCGGTTCACCTGCACCGAACTGGACCTCGGCATACACCTGTACGCTACGGACTGGCGCCGATCTGCAATGCGAAACTTTGTCGGACCCGGGACACCAATAGCAGGAGCCCGTGGGCTGACATGCGTTGGCTCCGTACCCGGCACCTCTCCTACGGGTCCTGCCGGATCTGATCTTACGGTCCATTACTTCCCGAACCGAAGAAATCTCCCCCGCCATTCGGGTACATTTCAGCTTCGGACCTGCAGCGCACGGATCCTGTTATTCTGTTGCATTGTCGAGGCGGCGGGGGGGGGGGAGGCAAATGATTTTAAATTATAGATTTTAATTCAAGCGCAAAATCTGATCTGGCGCTTCCGTGCTACGCAGTCCAAATTAATCATCGACATTATTATTATTATAAATATTATTGTATTAGTGTTAAGGATTCGTCAAAAAGGTTCATTTTAAATGACACGGGTTCAGTTCCAGACACACACCGCGGCAAAACTATTTGACAGTCAGTGACAGCAATGGTGACACAGGGACGTGTCGCTTCGCGTACAATAAGTCATTTTATTTGTGTGGTTAGTGTTTATATTTTTGCTGCAAGGGTCTGCTGGAGCCCGCGTCTGCAGACTGGACGACACATTTTGTCTTATTTAAAATCATCTAATACGTCAAATGAATCCATACGTTTGTTTTTAAATAATACCAACCTCTCATGCAACTGATCAAATTCCAAGCTGCCGGCGTATTTATAACAGAGCGAGATATGAACGTCTGTGATAAACATTCACGCCTGCAGAAGTTGCGCGATGGTCTTGCATTGCAATAGGTACAATACTTCAGTGCATCTGCTGATAGCTCGGTAAATGCCAACTGAGCCAAATACACGATTTGACTATTAAAATAAATTGCGTGCATTTTACTAGCCTCTCACTGAAACGCGTGTTGCGTATCATTTTAATGCTGTTTTTGCGTTTACGGACAGGCAGGGATAATTAGAGATGGGCAGGTAGCGGTTTTTAAATACAATGGGTTAATTGCAAACGATGGGGATTTCGTTAAAGTAACGTGCTTCTTACCTTCATTATTCGGGATCGCGGATGTCCGGAGCGCTGCGAGGGTTAGGAGGCTGACCCACACTTTAGTGCAGGAGACCGGGCGTCGGGTACAACTCCACAGCGCAAACATACTGATCTGGAAAAACGTGCTTTAAAAAACAGCAATAACAACTAGGACTGTAACACGGCGACAGCAGCGGCTCTCGCTACTGCTGGCTCAGCTCGGTACTGACGCGATCCCCTGCGTGGGATACGGAGGCATGGGTGCCGCTGTTTGGTGCCGGGGGAAAAGAGGCGCACATCTAAGCGCTGCGTCCTCCGCGCCGCGCCGCTCCACTGGCGAGGAGGGGAGGAGTGACTCTCAGACACACAGCGCTCCACCGGCGAGACAGGGAGGGGTGACTCCCACTCAGAGCCACACAGACTGCTCCACCGGCGAGGATGGGAGGAGGGAGGAGAGACTCTCAGGTACACACCTCTCCACCGGAGTGGAGGAGTGACTCTCGGGGCCCTACTGGTGTGGAGATCTCAAACAGCCAATATATTAAACCTGTGGAAAGGAGGCTTCACATGACACTCGCAGATAATAAGGGAGTCGGTAAAACAATAAACCAGCTCCTTTTATGACCATAATCATCATTCCCGTGCTCTAGTTCTGAAGCAGATGTCTTCACTCTATGAGCGGTTTGCATGTTTTCACTTCAGCTACTCTCATGGCACAAAGACATGCAGTTGAACTTACCGGCTTCTGTAAATTGCTCATAGAGTATGAATGGCTGTGTGTACCCTGCGATGGGCTGGCATCCCTTCTAGGGCATACCCCAGCCCTGTGCCCAGTGCCCAGTGCTGCCAGGCTGGTGACCGCATATGGGATATGCGGTTGCAAAATGGACAGATGCTGTGGAAGTTTAATCCACCGTATGTCGAGGAGCAGCCGAGTTCTGATCACGGACGAATGGTTCACAGAGAATCCAA